CCATCACAAACTATTCACGCCTCTCCACACACACAACAGAATTGATTAATCTTTATGTGCAATGTAAATACCTGGCTACCTCACTTTGCTAACTAACAATTCTTTTCTTTCGTCCATGAACCCTGAACTCATGTGTATCTTACTGTGAGCTCCTCGCAGGTACAGCCAACATCAGTGTGATTCATCTAATGATTTCATGCTCTGTGACTCACAGCGAACCTGAAGGCAGTCCGATTCATAAAGACAAAGCCTCAGCCGACCCGTCGCTTTCCCTCCCTTCTACCTAGACGTCCCCCTTCAGATCCTTCACACACCCAGTGTGTACACGATGTTATCTCCTCCAGTCCTCTCAAATCCTACTCTCAGAGGTTCATTTATGTTGTAAGGTCATTTAAGTGGCTATTGTATTTATCTTCCCATGGTCTTGAAGTTCAACCTATACTGGAGAAATGAGAGATATAGAAGGTGGGGGGGACATGATGCAAACGGCTTGGATTCAGTGTCAGGAGCCCTGTTTCATGACCTAGTTCTGCTGCTGTTTAACCCCACAAAGTCCCTTCTGCAATCTGGACCTCGGTTTCCCCGTCTGTGAAATGAGAGCCTGGGCACAGGACCAGACGATGAATCTCATGCCGCCGTCCCGTGCCTTCAGCCCATCCAAGGACAGAGCGGACTTCTGAGGAGAACACAGCCTTTAGCAGCAGAGACTTGTGTTCCCATCCAGGCTTTGCCACACACTAGCTGTGTGATTTGGGACAAATTATGTAATTTCTCTGAGACTCAGTTTTCTCCCCCATGAAGTGGGAAATAAAGTAAAAAAATCCCTACCCGTGCAGTACTTTCATGAGAGCTGGAGATGGATTCAAAGTGAAGCCCCTGGGGAGACTAAGTAAAGAGACTGGTACTAAACAAAGGGCAGCTACTATCCATCTCATCTCATACATTATTCCAGGAATCGCTGGCTCTGAGCAACAGGTTCAGCAGGTAGGACATTGAGCGAGGCCTCCAGGAAGGGGCCCCAGAAACCACACAAAGAGGGTACAGCCTAAACCAAATACCATTCAGCAAAAGTCAGGAAAAGCTGACTGCTGCTGGGGCAGGGGCTCCATCAGGACCTGAGCCGAGGGAGGCTAGGCTGCCCCTCAGCTTCCTGGAGGCTCCCAAGTCCAAGAAGGCTTAATCAGTAACCTGAACAACAGGTGAGCTGGTTGGGAAGGCAGGGAAAGAGCCTGAGCACTGAATTTATTTATACGACCCCCCTACACCAGGTCCCAGGGCAAAGAGTGCCCCTTCCATGGCAACTGCCGTCAACAGACTTCCAGCCCTGAACTGTGGACTTGGAGAAGCCTTGCTTCCGAGAAGGGGAATCCCAGCACCTTTCTCTGCGTGCTCATTAGACAAGCGCCATCCGCCAGCTGACCCACGCAGTGGTTCCCGTACCAACCACCAGCTAGTTCCAGTGTGACCTCCCCCGCTTCCCCCCACCCCGGTCAAGCTTACACTCCTTTTTCTCCTCTTACATCTGCCCTTCCCTCCCTCAGGAAGCCTGACTCTCCACCCCTCCCAGCCCAGCCCAGTCCAGGCTCTGCACACCCGTCTCTAACGAAATAGGACTGAAAAGCCCAGGGTTTTCATCTTGTAACTAAAAACTGACCCTGAAGGAGGTAGGAGAAAGTGAAGGAGGTGGAATCAACACATGGGCGGGAAAGCGGCCCAAAGGCACCAGTCCGGACAGTGGCGGTTTGAGTCGGGAAGCTGGGCAGGGAGGGAAAAATAATCCTGAGCACCTGTCCCAAGCCCAAGGCGAAGCCTATCTGCCCTAGCCGCGAGAGCGTGTTGTCACTGAATTGTGCAAAAAAAGGTGCGTGTAAAGCCCTTCAGTGGGGGTGGTAGTCTCATCAGTGACCGGTGCTGGGAGAACTGCTGTCCCCACGCAAACGGACGAAGCTGGACCCCTGCTTCCGTCACATCAAAAAGTACACAATGGATCAAAGACTTTAATGTAAGAGCTGAAACTATTAAACTCTTATGAAAACATAGGAATCAACCTTCATGACCTTAGATTTGGCAGTGGATTCTTAGAAATTACACCAAAAGCATCAACAGCAAAAGTAAAACTGATAAATTGAATTTCATCAAGATTTAAAATTTTTGTGTATCAAAGGACACTAACAAGAAAGTGAAAAGACAACCTACATGGGAGAAAATATTTGCAAATCCTGTATCTCATAAGGGTCAAGTATCCAGAATATATAAAGAACTCTTTCAAACTCAAAACCACTAAAGAAAAACAACCCAATCAAAACAAAAGTATGTGCCTGTTGGCCCGGACTGGAAGGTGGTAACAAAAGGGAAAAACAATTGTGGTGGGCTGAAGAATTATATGAATAAATAGTCAGAGATATATGTCTTTTTTTTTTTTTTTGGTAGGAGTCAAAGATATATTTCCCTTCAAGAAAGCATAATCAAATGCAATGTGTAGACTCCATTTGGATCCTGGTTGAAACAAATAAGCTACAATAAGACATTTTTGAGATAAGCAGGATAATCTGGATATGGACCCAGTGTTAAACTACTTAAATTAATATATTACTATATATTTTGTGGTGTAACAACAGCACAATGATTATGTTTTTTAAAAGTCAAAGATGCATTCTGAAGAATTTACAGTGAAATGACATGACATCTGGGATTAAATTTAAAATACTGCTGAAAAAAAATACAGTAGAATGGGATAGATGATAATGATTGTCAGAGCTGAGTGACAAGTACTCATTACATTATTCTCTCTCTGCCTGTGCATGTTTGAAATTTGTCAGAAAAAAAAACCTGAAAATGTTATTCAATATTACGGTTGTCTCAGCTTTAAATAATGAGAATAAAAGCACTAGCAGCTACTTTTTTCAGCTAGAGCAGAAGACTCAGTCCAGATCTAACCTAACTCAGATTGCAACCAGGACAGATGTTTTGCAAGATGCTGACATTGGCCCAATATTACCTTTGGTGCTCGATGGGGAAGGACAAGAAAAAGGAGGAAAACTGCCCATAGCCAATGAGATAACCACTTAGATAGAGTAGAGAACACTTTGCAACTGAGGAATGGCTGGACCTATGTGGTCTCAGAAAATGCGACTTCTTTGCCCTTGGATTTGGCATTGGATTCTTAGAAACGACACCAAAGCATGCGCAACAAAAGAAAAAGCAGACCAACTGAACTTCATCAGGAGGCAAAGCTTTTGTGCATCAAAGGAAACCCCCAAGAAAGTGAAAAGACAATCTATGGAATGGGAGAAAATATTTGCAAATCATGTATTCGATAAGCATATATATATATATACACACTTCTCTCGCGAGGTTAGGGTGCTGAGGCGACCCAGGGAGCTTCTCCCGTGTTCACCATCATGTCCTACGTCCCAATCACACTTCATGTTTTCCAGGAAGCCCATTTTACCCTCACTTACCACCCAGACAGGTAGGCAAGGCAGGTATTGTTATCCCCATCTTATCCACGATGAATCTAAGCTCCAGAGAAGCAAAGCAATATGCCCTTCGCCCCAGGTCTCCTGCTGGTGAGATGTGCGGCCGACCAGGAGCCTGGTCCACCCCATACTTCCCCCCATTACTCTCCTAGGTGGTCTCAGAAAGTGCACTTGTGGCATCCACCCTGGCCTCAGAGGTATGGCCATGGGTTCACCCTCAGTGAGCAGAGAGGTCTGCAAGGTGGCCAGATGGCCCCGTTCTCCAGTTTTCTTACCAAGGTCCTGTTTCCTTTCTGTAATTCCTTATCATTCACAGTGTCTTTTTTTCACTGTTGCTTTAACCTTTATCAGACTGACAACTACCTCGGGGATAAAAACATGCCAGGCAAAACCTAAAAGCAAACTTTCTCTTCCTCTTATCTTTTGAGCTGTCGTGGGGACAGCTCAGAACTTCAGTGGCTTCCTGGGCCTTTGACTTTTTTTTTAAAATAACATCTAAAGGAACTGACCTGCACACTTTTAAGGGAGGAAAAGTGAAGTGAAGGAGTATAAGGCCTGCTCCAGTGGGTCAGCCAGGAGCTCTGTGCAGCTCTCAGACACACCCCAGTGGCCAGTCAGTCCCTGAGAAATGTCAGCTCTGCTAACTGGGCTCTGAAGCTCCAGGCTAAATGGAAGAGGGAGCAGCCCCAGTGGCTGGGTTGAGAGAGAGGAAAAATTCCCTGGAGGGTTAGTGACTGAAGGCCCAGGGAGCTGATTCCAGACAAATGCAACAAGCCTGTGCAGTGAACCGGACGGGTAGAGTCCAGGTCTCTAGTCCTGATGTCTGTGTTCTCAGAATTCAGCCCTACCCTTGGAGGAGATGAAGGAATGGGATAGATGACCTAGTCCTGTGTCCCAGGCTCTCCTTCATAGATGGGGACACTCAGGTCCGGCTGGGGAAGGGACTCTGTGGAGTGCAACAGCAGCAAAACTAGGATGACAAGTAGGGTCCCTGACACTGAGTCCAAACCTTCCGGTGTTATGTTCCCACTGTTTTCTATGTCTTACATTCAGACCCTTGGGTCTGGGTTCTACTCCTGATTCAGGGTCCTGAGCAAGTACTTTGCATCCGCAGGGTTTTCATTTCCCTAACAACGAAAGAAGATGGAAAATCTCTGAGGTCCCTTCAAGAGTCGTCACTGACTGCCCACGCTTAGTACACCAGAAATGTTCCCTGGAGCCAGATTCCGACGCCGATAGGGCACAAAGGCTCATGGCTTTCTCTGACTCTGTCCTTGACATCCCTCACTCCCTCCTAACCTTCTATTAGGAGCGGCATTCACTGAACCCGTTCACGTTTGCAACTTTCCCCGCAGTGGAGGATAAGGAGTCCCGTGTGTGAAGAGCAAGGAGTAGGAGGGCCTAACGGGCCAAGTTAATAGAAACCAACAGCGCCGGCCTTGGTGGGCCAGCACAGGCTAAGGAGCGAGCGTGGGCGGGTTCGGAGCGGCCAGTGCCCAGTCCCCAGGGCGGCGGACTCACTGAGATCTTGGTGAAAATGTAGAGCAACAGGGACAGAATGGAGAGGTAGATCTGGATCCGCTTGCCTCCAAAGCGCTTCCTCAGGTATTCTGGCATTGTCACCACCTGCACGGGATACAAGGGAGGTCACCGTCACCACCTGCACGGGATAGGACAGGTCACCACGAGCCAGAGTGACCAGAGGCCCAGAGCAAGCAGAGCACTGGCATCTGCCCTGGCATCAGACATGTGATCAAGGGGTGACCACAGATGGTCAGACGAGTCTGCAAGGTGACCAGATGGCCCCCGCTCCCCAGCCGCTTGCACATCTCGGTCCCGCGTGTCCTGCCACTGCAGAGGTAGCTGGGTATTACCCCAGGACACAGAAAGCAACCAATAAATACTTTTTTGATGAGCTCACGACTGTGCTTGACCAAGAGGGGGATCCTCGCCATGAAGGAGGACGGGGTAGAGAGAGAGATTTCAATACAAAGCACCTCCTGTGAACAAGACACTGTAACAATGGTAGCGTTTTTCAGTGCACCAAACAAGGTGACCGGGCTGGACTGTCACTCTGCTCTGCACACGGGCCTTGCCAAGGATTGTATCTGCAAGCCTGCTCAATCATTCTCCCAGTTCCTTTCTGCAAATTCCAATGACGCTTCTGTCTCAGTCCCTCAGCCCTGAGCCTGCCATCTCCTGGCATCCGACATGTGTCACCAAAAGTCCGAGAGCCTCCAGAAGATGCAGAATCAGCCCTGTGTTCCTTCCATATTGCCTCCAGCTCCTAACGTAGAGACTACACACAGTAGGTGCTCATTACATGTCATTGAGCAGGTGATACCAAAGCTGTCTTATGTAAAATGTCAGAGATGACTTAGTCAATAGACTGAACGTGCATTTGATAGTTGAGGACAGGCTGCATGCTCAGCAAACAAGAGCCACCGACATATGTAAATGAAGGGGAATCGTTCTTTTTCTCATGCTGCTTCCCTTTCAGGGGCAGAAGGACAGTTACGTATCACGAGCAAAGGCGTGGGAGTGCCTGGCAAGCATACACAGCACGAGGGGACACGATGGTGCACAGGGCTCTGAGCAGAGTGAGGCTGCCTAGGAGGGCTTCCTTGGGGGACCAGTCATGCCGAGGGGATCTGTTTAGGGCCCCTGAGGGCAGTCAGGAACTTTGTAACTGGGGAAGGAAAGCCAAGGCATGCTCTTTCTCTGCCATTTATCCTAGAAAGCCTCCTCCGTCTTCCAGGAAGACCAAGCTCACATACGCATGTGCCGTCAACAGGATATGGACTAACAGAGCAGATACTTACCCCAGCCTTAATGTAAATGGGGACAAACACCCAGCCCAGGACGACCACCAGAACCAGGGCCTGAAACCAGAAAAGATGTGAAGTCAAACCAGGGGGAACCTGGGCCCATCCTGCTGCCTGCAGGCCCCGCAGCTGCTGCAGAACAACAACCCCCCACGTTCTCTCTGGGCTCTGAGGACAACTCCTCAGGCGGCATCACAGACCAGAGGAGGCCTCTGCTGCCTGACTAGCCTACGGGAATGGCAGCTGGGCAACAGCCGAGGGGACCCCAGGGAGCCACCCACTGACATCACAGCTCCTTTTGGCTCTTTTCTGATTTACAAGGAGTAAAATACCTTTTAAATAATAATAATGGAAATCTGGTGGTAAGCATTTCCAAACCTCCAATATGGCCAAAAGGGTACAGGAAAGCTTGGCTTTTTAAGACAAGGAAGGAACACTGTTGCCATCATCCCAGTGGTTTTTCTCTTGCTACTCCGGTGGAGGGGCTGCAGGACCCTGGGCTCCTGAAGCTAAGCCCCTGGCCTGTCTGCGTCCCAGGGGGGCCCTGAGAGGCTCCCGAACACCGAGTGTTTCTGAGCCTAGTTGAACTGGCTGACTGCTGAAGCTCCTTCCAGCTCCAGGGCACGGTGCCTCCAGTGCTACTCACGTTCCACTCAAAGCCCCCAGTGGCGATGCCCGCAGCTGCTCCTGTCCCCGCCAGCCCCACAAAGTGGCCGCTTCCAATGTTACTGGCAAAGAGAGAGGCTCCAATCTGCAAACCCGAAGAGAAAGCAGCGTGAGGACCCTGTGCTCCGCCAGGACTCTCAGAGCGGCCCAGAGAGAAGAGAGACACGTCAGGCCAAAGCAGAGGCAGGCTGAGAACCTGACGGCGCTGCAGTCCATCAGGACCGCTGGTTCAGGACGCAGGTGTGGGGACTTGGGTAATAGTGAAAATGAAGAGTTGAGGACTGGGAAGGAGGAAGTGGGATGTGCCCCAAACCAGATGACCTGTGAGTCCTCTGGGAGCCCAATGCACAATAGGAAAGAAGACATGAGAAGCCCCCACAGTCCCCCAGGGCCTTCCGAGAAGCCTCCCCAAAGGCTGTCAGCTCAGGAGCAGGGCCTGTGCCATTCATCTCTGTGTCCTCCGGGACTTCTGGCAGAGGACCTTGACCAGTAGAGGCTCTCAGTAAATGTGGACAGTTTTGGTAAAAAGAACCATATCAAAGGAAGCCTCTGGGCCTTGGTGCCCTCACTTGTCAGAGGAGGCAGGAGATGGAGCCAGTTTCCCGGTGACTCTTAGCTGTAAAGGCCTGTGATTGACTCCTCGTGCTCCCAGGTAACAACAGATGCTATTAATGATGATAATAACTCTCTAAATTGGCACCGTCTTTTTTACTCTTTACAGAGGTCCCAAAGACCCCACAGATACATGCACAAAACACTGCATTTTCAAGGACATACATGTCTAAACACACAGGCTAGATTGGAAGGACACATTTTAAAAACCCAAGAATGGAAGCCTGGAAGGGGAAAGGAGAATAAGATTATAACTGGGAGATGGAGAAAATATCAGAGGGAACAAGACAGGGATCTTGCACTGATCAACTGTGATTCTGTGCCATCATTTCAATTGCACATGAGGTCCAAGAGAACTCCAGAAAGTTCTAGAGTCCTTCTGTACCCAGAAGGAGATGCATGGCAGCAGTTGGTAAGTACCAACCTAGTACAGGTATCCCCATTCTTGCTGAGTGATGCAGGGAGGCTCGTAGTTATTTGTCTAATATCCCTAAGGTGATCCAAAATCTGGAACAAAACACATATTTTCCAAAAGACAAATTATGCCAAGAAACAGTCCTTACTGTGCCAGCCTCTGACATAAGGCGGGAGGTGCTTAGTGTCAAATGAGAAGTCGGGGGAGTGGGAATCCCTGAAGGCCAGACCAGAAGGAAGTCTCTGGAGTGACGAGAAGAGAGTGGTGTAAATGCAGTGAGATTCAGTTGCTCAACAAATATTAATTTAGCTTCTCCTCAGTGCGTCCAGCACTATTCTAAGCAGTGTGGATTCCACTGTGAATAGCACAGACAGAATCCCTACTTTTCAGAAGCTTATGTGCAAACAGAGGAAACATAAATAAATAAACCAAAAAAAACATCAGTGAGTTGTAAGTGCTACGAAGAGAATAGCAGGTGTGATAAAGTAACTACTTTAGATACGAAAGGTCAGAAAAGGTCCCTTAAAGGGATGACCTCTAGGTTAAGATCAAAATGATAAAAGAAGTCTATGAAGCCGACATCGGAACGAAAGCATTCCAGCAAAGCAGAGACCCCCGAGTGGGAAAGTCGTCACGGCTGAGAAACAGAAAGAAAGCCGGAGAGGCTGGACAGGTGGGTAAGGAGGAGGCCAGTGTGAGATGAGCTGGGGATACACCACCAAGTCCCAGCAAGCCAAGACAGGAGGTGTGGATTTTATTCGAAGTGTGATGGGAAGTCACTGGAGGGTTTTAAGCAGCAGAAGGACAGGATCTAGTTTGCTTTTAAAGATTGTAGTGGTGGGAGTGAGGGAGAAAACAGTAAAACTGTGAGAGGCTGTCGCTGCATCTGGGTGAGAGAGGACAGCTGCCGGGCCCGGTGGTAGCAGTCGAGACCAAGGCAAGCGTGGAGACTGAGATCTGCTGTAGAAACAAAGTGGTGGGCCTTGCTGCCTGACCGGTGCAAAATAAAGGAAAAATTAATGAAGAGGAACTCCTAGATCCCGGACTTGAGCACCCAGGAGGACACCATTCTTTAAGAAGGGAAACTGGGAATAAAGAGGGCGATTTATAGACATCCACCTCCTTCTCTCCAAAGCTTGCTGGGGTTATCAGTCCGCTTCTAATCAAAATTCCCTTCGCTTCTGCATGTAGCCTGCCTGTCCTGATACGTTATCTTTCCATTTATCATCTCTCTCTTGATAAATTATTAAGCCTAATATTGTACTATTAAGGGCAAAATTACCAGTAGTGATTAACTGCATTAAATTAACCTTAAGTTCAAGAGTCTCTCCAACTCCCCCAAAGGGGGATATTGGACTTGAAGCAGTTGCAGGCTCTCCCAAGGTACCCCTCACCATCTGATGGAATGGGCCCTGGGGAGCACTGGGGGTGCCAGAATGTCCTGGCCCATGTTCCACTCATTTCTGTCATGGTCACTACTGTGCCCCCGCTCACACACCCTGGCTTCAGCCTGGACTCTCTGCCTTGGCCCCATGACTTGCACTCAGTCATTTACCAAAACCCTGACTCTGCCTTCACAGTGTCATAGACACCTAGCTCTTTTTATATCCCCCTTGTACAAGCTGCCATTATCTCTCAAGTTTCTACATGTCTCCCCCAACCCAGATAGCCAGTTACCTCCCCAAAGCACAACTCTAACTGAGTTACTTCCCTATTCAGAGACTCTCCCAAACCCCCGAATGGACCTGCCAGTCAATCTTCCTGCTGGTTCCAGGTTTAAAGACATAGTCCTAAGAATTCAACAAGATTTCAAGTCAAAGTACTCTCTAGGGAGAAGGCAGCAGGAGCTTAAATGCTGTCTTGACCTCTTCCTATCTGGGTGGTCATAACATCTGCAAGCCTCGTTCTTCCCTCATGACAGGGCTGTGCGGAAGTCAAATGAGATTATGCATCAGCAATGACTGACACCCAGTTGCCTTCAATCAGTGTCCTTTCTCTCTTCCAAGAGGACAGTCACTTCATCCTCAAAGGCAATTGACAAAAGCTACAACAGGAAACCGTTAGGGATTGAATTGTGTTCCTCCAAAATTCATATGTTGAAGTCCTAACCTCCAATGTGACTATAGTTGGAGATTAGGTCATGAGGGAGGTAATAAAGGCTCAATTAGGTCATAGGGTGGGACCTTAATTGGAGAGGACACCAGAGCTGGTTCTCTTTGTCCTCCCACCCTCTCCCCATGTGCACAAAGAGGCTGCGGGAGTGCACAGAGAGAAGACAGCCGCCTGCAAGCCAGGAAGAGAGGTGTCATCAGAAACCAACCCTGACAGCGCCTTGATTTTGGATTTCCAGCCTCCAGAACTGTAAGAAAATCAATTTCTGTTGTATAAGCCACCCAGCCTGTGGTTTTTGTTACGGCATCCCAAGCAGGCTAATCAAGACCTTACCCGTTGCCTCACCACCTCCTCTCCTCTGCCAGGATTTCCCACAGCCCTTCCTCTCACTGGAGGTCATCGGCAACGCTTTCGGCACTCTGACTTCGCAAACACTCTCTGCCCACTCCTCCCCCGCGTTCACGCCCATCTGGGAATCATGCCTCATCCGGGAGAAGCCAATGACATGAGTCAACGTGTCCTTCTCTGTTATACCCTCCCATGTTTCTTCTGAGTTCTGGATTTTAGACTTCATCTAAAATTTCTCCACTTGACCTTGCTTCTAACTGTAATAGGGAATGTGGGGGGTACTTGATAATGGGGGGAGTCTAGTAACCATAATGTTGTTCAAGTAATTGCACATTAACAATATCATAATAAATAAATAAATAAATAATAAAGGGCAACGATTCCAGAGCTCTCTCAGATTCACTTGCAGGGTCTGAGGCCTGAGAACAAAGCATGCAGGGAAGTTTTCTGTTCACTGGGGACAATGTAGAAAACACATGAAAATGTCATTGAATGCTCACTGAAACTTTTGTTTTGTGCAATAGAAAATAGAAAATAGGGAATATATGGCCTGTTTACATGCCAACATCCAGTCTTCTGATGTTAGAGCTGGAATTACCTTAGAAATGATAAAGGTCAACCTTATCATTTCCAAAGGAAGTCAAAAATCATAGCCCAGAGGAAGAAAGTTATTCAAGTGTACACATCAGTTTGATGTTTACTTCCACACCCTTAGCAAAATAAGACAGCATGTGTGCACTCAGAACCACTAGGCAGAAAGTTGAGAACCGCCTGATGCTGTGTGTGTCTTCCCAGCTTCACCATCAGGCAGCCAGTGGATTTGAGGAAGGAACCCTGTAATCCTCCCCAGTCCCTTTCCCTTTGGTAACTGTTAGTCCATTTGTGGGTTCTGTGATTCTGCTGCTGTTTTGTTCCTTCAGTTTTTTATTTGTTCTTATGCTCTGCAGATGAGTGAAATCATTTGATACTTGTCTTTCTCCGCCTGGCTTATTTCACTGAGCATAATACCCTCTAGCTCCATCCATGGTGTTGCAAATGGTAGGATTTGTTTTCTTCTTATGGCTGAATAATATTCAATATTTCAAGTGTGATCAGTAATCACACTTGAAAGTATAATAATATGGTGCGGACCTCCTTCAAAGCACCCTGGAAGCCTTCCAAGCTAGTTCTACTCTTGGCTCTGCCAAAGGAAATCATGACCTTGAGCCAGTCACCTTACTGCCTCGAGCCTCAGTTTCCTCCACTACAACCCGAGGTTAAGAATCCTTCTTAGCCTACTGCACAAGGGTGTTCCCAGGCTTCAGTGAGGTGACAGATGTGAGAAACCTTTAAGAAAGTTTTGCCCCACAAAGGCATGCTATTCGGAAGAGAGATTGGTGTTGCTTTTACACGGCCCATGTTTTCATGGAATGCCCTGAATTTCCTGAGAGAGACAGAGTGGTCGTTTCGTGAAAAAGACTCTTGGAAGGAGCTTGCTCTTCGCAGCTCAAATGAAAAATGCACTCAGCTAATTTCAGGAAACTGCTTTCTTTGTTAATGAACCATATAATACCCAGAATGTCCAGAGCTCTGGAGATGGCTCACTGTTCCCAGTTTCT